AGGAGGGGCTCCCCTCCCCGTGGGAGGCGCCATCATCTGTGGCTTCTGCTCTGCCCTTGGTCACTGACTCGACTGCACAACACAGCCAGTGAGAGTCCCCCTCCCCTCCTGTGCTTGAGAGGCAGCCCTTAACTAGAGGTTTGTAGAAATGACCCAGCTCCAAACTGCAGGGTTCAGGGCCCAGCGGCAAAGTGTGCCTCGGTGTAATGGCAGCGTTTCACTTCTGACTGAATACAGATGTTGCCCTGTAGACAGCTGGGCTGTCCCCTCTCCTGCCAGCGAGTGAGTCTTGTTCCCAGGCTAGCCCGGCTTTTACTGTTTCCCCTCCTGCCCCTCCCAGAGACCATGAAGCTGCCCACCTCCTGGTATGTTCCAGTTCTGATAGGAGAGCCATTGAACGTTCTTGGCGGGAGCCCAGCCCCTGCTCCCCGGTGGCTCCCCTGCTTTCCCAGCGCGTTTGATGTGCACATTCCCCAGAGTTCCTATGCGGCTGGCTGGCTCTGGAGTGCCCAGAGCTTGGAGCTCTCCTGAAAGGGGAACCCAGCTGCTGTCCTCCCTGGTTTTAGGGGCGGGGTTTGAAAATAGAGAATCATAATCTCCCTCCTCCTCCTCCCCCTCCCCCTCCTCACCCCTGCAACACTGCCGGTAAACTGGAGTGACTGGCTCTGGAGCCGGACTCAGGGACTCAGCCCGCCTCACTGCTCTGCATGGCAGCAGCGATCTGGAGGAAGATTAATGGGCTTGTGAGTATGTGAACAGGGAGTACCTTGCGCCTCGGCCTGCAATTCTGTGGCAGGTGTGGACTTACCCTGGCGTAGGGAGACCAGGGCTCTGTAGGGGAGGTGGTGGCCCAGCCAGGTATGTGTGTGCCTAAGCCACCTTGTTCTTTAAGACTTGGAGAAACGGAAAGCACTTCTAAATACTCCTGCTCTTCAGAGGAGCTTGGTGGGTGGTCGGGGAGTTTATTCTTGGAATCTCCTACAGCACAATATCCCCTTTTTTCTAAGCCAGTTGCTTTAGTTTCTAAGCTGGACTTACTACCTTCAGTTTTCTGAGGAAGGTTAGGAAAGTGGTAGCTGCTCTGTTGTTAGAAAGGGGATGCTGGAGAGGGGAGCACAGGTGGCCGGCGGGTGTATCATGTTCCCCCTCTGGCTGGCTAGAGAAGGGACACCCTCACCCTCTTCTGCTGACCTCTTCGGCCAGTCCCGGGAACACCCACATGGAAACATCCTCTTGCTGCTAAGGCTTGAGCGCCTACAGCACAGACCAGAGCAGAGCAGTGCAAGCTTGCTGCGAGGGGGGGACTCGGTGTTCAGGGGCTGTGACAGGCGGTTTTGCAGAGCCAGGCCCAGCATCGCGGCCTGCTGGGGAGAGCCTAGCTGCCCGGAGCCACCGGAGCCACCGGCTCGGGTGCTGACCACCTTCCCCTCTTGCTGGGTCTCTCGCTGGTGCTGTCATTGTCAGATTGACCCTCTGGTTAGAGAGGACACCCTGACCTGGTCTCGGCTCGCTGCTGCCTGAGCACCTCTGCCCTAGAGCTGTACCCAGTTTGTCTCCAGGTCTGACTTGGAGTGAGTGGGGCAAGAAGTGGTCACAGGGAGTTCCGTTTTGGTGGTTGGACTTCTGACTGGGCATTTAGGCATCTGGGAGCCGAGTGCTTTTTTTATCCAAATGTGCCCTGAACACTCCCTTCTTAAGCTCTCATCACATCTCGTGGTGGGCCAGGAAAGCTTTGCTCGGGTACTAATTTTTTGGGTTTGTGTTGCTCATCCCTGTATTCTCTCCCAGCCGCTAACAAACCCAAACCTTTCTTACAAAGAACATGGAAAAAGTTGAACAGTGCCTCAAGGTCACTGGATCATAAGTGGTATTTGGCATAGTTAGCTGGTTTGGTGTTTGGTGAGAGCTTTCTGCTTTATATTTGAGCAAAAGATTTCTTGGCGGAAGGCCTCTGTGCTGTGTTCCCAGTGCTTGCCCTGTGTACAGGGTTTGCCCCCTTCCCTCCCCTGACAGGTTGTTTTAATCCTCTTGCCTATAAACAAGTACAGCAGAACGTGTCAGGCCAGCTCACATGACCTTGGTTATCTCTTCATGGGGTAACCAGCATCAGCTTTAGATACACAGGCACTTGATGGGGCAGAGCTGTCAGGGTGAAGGGGAGATGCCAGGAGGAAGCCGGGGTCTGCCGAGGAAGGGGAGTGCTAGTGAATGTGGTCCTCAGTGAGGACCAGGCAGGAAAAGTCAGCTGCCATTGACAGGAATTCGGAGAAGACAGTTTCATTCCTTGTTGCCTTTTGTCCCTGCATTTTGACTCCTGGCATCTCATTTCTCTTTCTCCTGTCTCTCACATCCTGTCTGGAGGGGCCG